GAAAATCATATTTACTTAACATTTACTTTACATGTTAACAAATTGTTATAATTGTATTTTTCCACAATTTTTGCTACACTTTTCTAATATAAATCAAATTATCACGTTTGTAATTCACGGTAAAAAATAAACTTTACAATTTGTTAAAGAAAATTTTATTTTTAAACAACCGCAAAAAATTCTTTTTCATTGATGCAAAAAGGTAAAAGTAATAATACAAAAATTAAACAATATGATTGATATTATCATATCACATTCATATTTGTTTTAGTGCCAAGAAATTATTTATTATCTTTTTTACTGCAAATTTTTTTAAATAATAAAAGAGAATAATAATTGAAAATACCGACTATATAAATTAACATTAAATTTTTCTTCAATTGAAACGACAAGAAATTTATTGAAAAGGAAACTAAAAAAAATTTTCAATTAAAATTAAACTTTAAAAAATGAAATTAGTTATTAATCGATCCAATAAATAATTTTTCCAAAATTTATCACGTACAAGAATTAGAAATGAATAAAAGGAAAAAAAAAATATATATATTTTTCAATTTATCCATCTCCATTACAATCGATACAGAAATTACTTAGAAATATTTTATCTCATTAATTTATTTGTCATAACGAAGACAGCACGAAGAAAACGACAAACGTGAGATAGAAAATTAATAACTTAGGAGGAATTGGAAGACACTTCCGCAACGATGGCCGCAAAATGGTGACGGAAGAAAATTTCTTCCAAGCGTCAGATATCGAGGAAGGCTTTAACCTGGTGCATAATCACCACTTTCCTCTATCCTTGACTCATATATATATATTTTTCCCCCGAAAAAAAGTATATCTGCGAAAAAGGGCCCAGCGGCCTCTTCACGGTTCTTACGATCTCTCGGCAAACTGTTTTAGTCGAAACGTTGAAAGGGTTGCTATTTTGAGGTGGCTCGCACTAAATATGGTCAGATAGGCGTTGGCGTTGTACCCGGGCAAGGCACCCCTGCTCAAGCAACGGTGACGTAGTGGGGGAGATGAAGCAAAGTTACTTAGACAAGTTCACTTCTATGATTCGGACAGTTGGTTCGTTCTGACCATCTCGTACCATCCTCTTACAAACCAACTGTAGACATGGTAAGTAATCGAGCAATAATCGTGATCGCTTCATCGTGATGATTTTGGATGATTAAAATCGGATTTCCTCGGGAAAATATTCGGGATTCCCGTTGTTCCTTCCGTAGAATTTTTTTTTTCCTTTTTTTCTCTCTCTCTCTAAAAACAAAAAAGTGAGGATATCACGGAGAATGTTACGCGTCGAATACGTGAAACATGGTGGTGGAAACATGTTCGACCTGTTTGCAAAAGGGTAAATTTTGGAAAATTAGACGAATCGTATATTGTAAACTGTGTCTGGGATTATATGTATATATGTGAATGGGATTCATCAGAGTGCAAAAATTTGCACGAAATATACAATATTTTGTGTTTTAATGAAGTGTAAACAGTGATCTTTAATTAGATTTTTGATCGTTTCCATTTTTTAATTGGATATATTTATTATTTGCTTTGTTCCATTCCGTGCGTTCCATTTGTTACACGCAGCTTTGGATTTTAATTAATCAAATTTTTGACTTTGGATTTCGATTATTATTTTTCTATAATAAAATTGTAACTTTAGAACGTTAAATCAATAGGAAATATGTCATATATTCAATAGTGATACACCATTGGATTTGAAAATTTTTCAATGGAAAGATTTTAAATTTAATCTTAATAAAAATTTACTGTTTAATTAGTCTGTAAAATTTCTAATAATCAATTCTTGATACAATTCATGTTTGAATACAATTTATTTTAATTATATGTAATTAGATGTAGTTGAAATTCTTTTATTTTTTTTTTTCTACATGAACGATATCATAGAATCGAGTTCACTTTGTCTTATAAGATCTATAGTTGTTTATTTGTTAGATATATATTATAAAAATAAGAGAATTACGTAAGTGCATAGTAACTCGAGAGGCTGTACGGGATAAACGGTCTATATTTGTCTTGGCTTATTTTCAACTATACTATGGATGATAGAAGGACCCTATTTTTAACTTTTATGAGCAACGCCTTCCGAATTTTCTTTGATGTTATTCAAGCTAGCTCACTCTTAGCTAAATATTAGATAATAATTGGAATACTTTTGTTATATAATTTCAATTATAATTTCATAAATGTCCATTTACAAACAATTTGTATTAGATATTTTATTTTTATTCTTTCATCTTTTTATTTTATATATTTTGAAAAATTGCAATATTTATAATTATTGATTTACAAGATATATAGATGCGACTTGCATATTTTTTTATTAAAAAATTGCCAAGATTTATTTATTATAAAAAAGATTGCATATTTATTGTTACAAGTTTTGTATAAACATTGTAAACATAATATAATGTATTAATTAAAAAGACACAAAAAAATAAAGTATTTTCTTTTTTACAAATACTTTTTGATCTTACCCAAAATGGAGAAATTAAATTTAAATATCAATTTAATTTTTAAAGAAATTTGATAAATTTTTCTTCTCCTAGAAGAAATTTATAATAATGTTATTCGAGTGATACACGAAATTACGATGAATTTTAGGCGGATAAAGAGAAGAAGAAGAAGACTAAAAAGAAGGAGGAGGCAGCGCCAGCACCTCCTCCACCAGAACCGGAACCAGAACCGGAAAAGCCACCAACCCCAGCACCAAGTACACCCAAAGAATCTGGCTCAACTCGAGCAAGTAGTCGGGGTAGCCGCAAAGCTAAACGCGCTGGATCCAGCGTGTTTTCTATGTTTACTCAGAAACAAGTTGCCGAATTTAAAGAGGTAGATCGAAATTTTACACGAATAATTATTATTAGACTCTAAAACTTAATTTTTAAATTCATAAATCTTAAATTCGAAATTCGAGGCTCAAAATACTTTTTTCCCTCCATTTTTTTTAAATTCATTTTTCAAAAAATTAAATTTCTATGTTTAATTTTGTCATTATAAAAATTATTATACTGATCATATTAAGACGAGTTCAAAAATTTGAATACAATCTCAATTATTTGTTATTTACTTTAGAGTTTCAAATAAAAGTATTTTACAATATATTTGATCCATAATTTTTATTGCTGTGAACATACAGAGAAATTGATCATTTGTATGATAAAGAATAATATTTTTTATTGATTACGTTCACCAGGCATTCCAGCTTATGGATCAAGACAAGGATGGTATAATTGGAAAGAACGATCTTCGTGCCACTTTTGACAATGTTGGCCGTCTGGTCACTGATAAAGAGCTTGACGATATGCTAAATGAAGCTCCCGCTCCTATCAACTTTACTCAGTTATTGAATCTCTTCGCATCTCGCATGTCGGGATCAGGTAATATATATAGCTATATATTCACAAAGAGATATGAACACTTATATGAATTTTCTAATTTAGCTGAATAATTTAGAAATTAGGTTCCTCTGATAATTATTCAATATTTTAATAATACTATTCTTTTTGATTCTCAGGTCAGGATGACGATGAAACCGTAGTCGCTGCCTTCAGTACCTTTGATGTCAATGGTAAAATTGATGGTGAAAGGTAAGTGATTATTCTTATCGTAATTAAAGCATAAATTTATGCTTTTTAATCCCTTGTAGTCGAGAGATAACTTTCTTAATAGGTGGAAAAATTGGAGATTCATTATATTACTTTAATGTTGAGTTAAACAAAGCTTTGATAAAGTTCATATTTTTGCAATTGATTTCAGATATTTCACTTGACATTTATAATTCTCCATATTCCAAAATATATACAAATTGTTAATATATTTGTAGGTTATATTTAGAAAGTATGATATGCTATTGTAAGCAATTTAGAGATTAAATGAAGCGAGACGAAGATAAAACTTTACCGCCATCTGGTGTAAAAATAAATAAATAAATTGCACTATTTCTTTCAAATGATTTATAGATTGATTTAAAAAATATTTTTACCATCTTCGTAACAAACATTTGAAAAAAAAAATTTCCAAAAGAATGGGACAAATATACTGATATTTTTTCTTCGAATAGATCCGTAATTTTAATCAATATTATTGACAGACAATTCGAACACGTTCTTATAAAAATTGAATATCCCTTTTCTTAGGTTGAGGCACGCCTTGATGACGTATGGTGACAAATTTACCGCGAAGGAGGTCGACGATGCGTATGATAATATGTACATTGATGATAAGGGATTTATCGACACGCAAAGTCTTATTGCAATGTTGACTGGACAGGAGGAAGAGGAGGAATAAATTTAAGTGACTCTCAGCATTAAAAAATTTCTGTTAAAATTCTGTTCACTGAAAACGAAGTCTCGTGTTAGCGTCAGATCCGCTTGATCCGTTTCCAAGTGAGGAAAATCAGATTTATTAGAAGTAAAAATATATACGTTTGTTATAAATATTTTTCTTCTCATTTGTCTCTCGATTATTTTTAAAGATTGATTAAAGATTTTTGCTCTGATAAAGTAATGATTGTGAGAAATGGATAGATGAATGAATAGATTCTTGGAAGTGGAAACAGCGCGTCTGCCGAAAATCGAGGCTTTGAATCTCCATATTATTGTTCATATAATAAAATTATTTTAAAACTTTACAATGATTCTTGTTCTAATTTTGATCCGTCATATATACGTATTATTCAATATTATTACGCATCTTTTCCTTCCAAAATTCTATAAAACAAATTCTGATAACATTAAGTAAAAAAGAATGTTTTTGCGTGTGATTCATTTAGAGAATAATTTTTGTATAATATCAATATCAGCTATTACGTTTCTTGCATTTTGTATTATTTATAAAAAAAACAATAAAACAATGTTTATCAATAATACACATTGAATAAAACATAATTACTTATTACTTCGAATATTCTAGAAATAAATAGAAAATTATATTCTATTTAATTTTTTTTTAAATTTTATTATTTATTTTTCTTTCAACGTGTGTAAGATGCAATCATATGTTATGCAATAATGTGACATAATTTAAAATTAAACTTTTAATTGTGATTACATAATTTTCTGAAAGCCTCTCTGCTTTAAAATTGGCAAAATATCAAATTGTGTGATGATGATAGTCAATTATGTGATTTATAATTAATCATTAGTATAAGTATGTATAGGATATTCATGGAATTCACTTTTGAAAGATCGATTCTAAAGGATTCTAGAAGACGTAAAAATATCGATTGAAACTTATTCATTGAGTTATAAACAATTTTAGAGGAAGGAAGATAGAGATAGAGATCTTTCTGTTATACCTTTTCATTTTGTCCAAAGCAAACTTGAATAAGCTTCAATAGATATTTTTTTATATCAATTTTTACGTTTTGATTTTTAGAATTGATATTCACAATATAATATTTGAACAACTTTTGTATTGCAATAAAATACTCATTATTATATTATAATAAAATAATCGATATTTGCTCTGTGTGCCTTTATTTTATAAAGATATAGAGTATTTTATTTTAACATGGTGTCTTATTTAACAGTAAGTGAAATACAATAATGTAAAAATTTTGCTTTGTAAAATAAATATAATAGTTTAAAAAATAATGAAATTAAAAAAATAATTTTGAATGTATTACAAGACAAAATTTTAATTAATTTGTTAATTAATGAAATTTACTTACTCAAAAACTTACTTGAAATTTTTAAATCAGTCCATTATACGTTATTGTCATTGAATAACATAGTATAGAATTGATTAAAATTATGCACATTTCTTGTTTTTTTTTTTTGTTTAATCATTGCTGCTTTCTTGTTTAAACGATTTATATAACAGGATATTTGGTAAACTCGCGTAATTGAAAACTGGAGGAATTATGTGTCTACTGTTCGTTGTTTCAGCAAAGTGAAATATGACATTGTGGTACTCATGATCTGAAATGTAAAAAGTAAAAAAATATATTATAAATAAGAATTGTGATAATTTCAGTAAAAAAAAAAAGAAAGAATAGAAGAAAAATTAAAATAAATTTTAACATTCTATGTCAAAAATAAGATCTATCTTATATTTCTCGTTAAAACTTCTTTTGACAAAAACAAATTTTTATTTCCGGAATTTTTTAAATGCAAATTAATAGTTAAATAACAATAGTTATTCTTTTTAATTCGCAAAAAATTAAATACTTCTTTTTAAATAAACTGAAATTAAAATAATAACATAAAATAGTAACATAAAATAAATAAAATATTTAAATATAATCAATTATTAAATTATTAAATTCAATATTAAATTATTTATATCAAGAAATTTGGAAATTTGTTTCTAACAGATTAACAATTTTTTTGTGAAAATAAAAACGAATCATTCGAAAGACAAATTTTCCGATCTCGTGAAAAATAATAGTTACTTTGGTGTAAGTCTCAAGGGATATGGGAAAGAAACCGCACGCGGTCAGGCAACAAGCTTTTCTTGCCCTCATGACGACAATTTGCAAATCTTGTCGTAACATTTTCCCAAACTTATCCATCGGTAGATTCATCCATGGTGAGGTATACACGGCCGAAGCTATTTTCGCGCTTTCTTGCGTTATGCAATCGCAACTGTACGTGAACATCCACAACTGGCACATACCGGCGAATAGGTAACATATGAAGGAGATGCGATAAGAGGGGGTGAGATCTGCCTGTTATCAATGTTATTATACACGATATTTATTTGCAATATTCAAAAATAAAGATTTCTTTTGTCGCTAAGTTTGTCGATAAAAAAAAAAAATAAGAAAATAGTAATTTTAATACACAAATAATTAATTAAGTACTAACCAAGATCACTTGATATCCAAGGAAACAGAATAATATACTGAACATTAATATTTGCCCGATCACGATTATTGTGAATATCTCTTCGAGGGTTTCGCAGAAGTCGAGGAGAGCTTGATGCTGTTGAATGTAATTTTTAAACGCGTTGTAACACTCGTCTGAAAAATTTTTCCTCGTGTCGAGGTTTTCTTTCATTTTTAAAATTGGCACATTGGCTATTCTGTATTGTAATATACGAAACTGGCAAGCTACGTTCAGGCACAAGATGCAAAATATATTGTCGAAGCAAAAGTAACAACTGCCAGCCTGGTTTAAAGCAGCGATCTGTCCAAACACGAGAAAAATTATTTTTCGATTCGTCAAAAAGGCGTCAAGAATTGAAATTAAACGTATAAATGGAATAAAACTTTCAAGTTTGAAATATAGATATAGTGCAAATACGTTTTCTTAATTAATTCGAATTGAAATATTGTACACTGTCGAAAAGAAATTTTACAGAAATTTTTATATCAACAAGAAAATGATTAATACCTGTATCGTGTATGCAATTTCATAATACGGTGAAATAGACAATGGCAGGTCCAGATACATGTTAAATATAAGTATCCTATCTGTTTCGTTTCTTCCAATATTTGCTAAAATAATTAGTTGTAATAATATTTAAAATATGTACTTAATTATATAAATAAATTAATATAGTAGAGTATCAATTATCCAAATTTTTATTATTTATTGTTCAGATAATTGATGCTTTATTATATTATATTTTTTATTTTATATTAATTTATTTTGAGATAACATAAATTGAATCTTGACGATGTAACAATTAAATCAAATTAAAAATTGAACTTAAAATTCAATAATTGTAAAGATGAACTTACTCAACAATGGTCTGAACATATACATGAAAATCGAAGATAAAGAAGAAAATGTGAGAATGCAGACGAAATACGCGGTTATTCTCTTCGTATCTTTCACGATTAAGTTTTCCTCTTCATCGTAGTCGTAATGCCAGAAATTTTTCTGCATGTATGTCATTAAACCAAGAAACTTTTTCTGATATATGAATAGGCTGAAAATTTTGAAGAAATCCATGACGAGTCCCAAACCATCGCATGCGATGTAAGTACAGGCCTATAATAATGCGATATTATATTATTGATTCAAAATATAGGATTGAAAAAATTACAAAGTACTTTCCATTGAATATCTTGAAACAATACTCGTGAAAGAACATTAAAGAAAATTAAAAAAAATTCGTATAAAATTTATTATTGACTTAATTTGATTTCTGATGAAGTTTTCAAATTTGGAACTACTTTTGATTTGTACTCGAATTTTACGAAAAATTTGTTATTATAAATATCGATATATTTTTCACAGTTTATTAATTCATTGTTGTTTCATTAATTTTATAAAAAAAGGATAGATCGATAAAATGATCAAAAATAAATTTGTCTCCTTTGCAGCAAAAATAAAAATATATTTTTTTAAATTATCTAAATTTCTACTTCTTAATTAATATTAATTATTAATTAATATTAATTACTTATTACTACTTATTAATTAATATTAATATTAAAAATATCGAAGTTCAGAGCGATATAACAATTTAAAATTATATAAAAAGATTTATATAATTTTGAAAAACAACAGAACTTTGACAAACTTACGCTAAAGTCTCCCCAATTGAAATAAAGTCCTCTTATTTGAACCCATGCAGAGAATGTGATCGCAAGTATAGTATACCCGACCACGCCAATTCTGAACCATTCTTCCAGGCGACTGGTGGTTAACCAAAAGCCAACGACCCTTAGATAGAAAGATGCCACGGTAAAAGCAAGGTCTTTACGATATTTCAAATTCATACTGATCTTCGAACGATCAGATTGCACGACCAGGGATTTATAGGGAGAGCGTTCTATCAATTATCTATCAAAAGTTTCAGAACCAATTGTTTCAACATACCGTCCCTTTCATCTCCAAATATACTTTCATTCGTGTATAACCGACACGTTTATATTCGACTTTAATGATATTCGTGAATTGCCACGAAGAAAATGTATTATAATATATCTATTCGCAAATGCTATCGATATTTCCATAGTATTTTAGTCGTAATGTATATGATCGGTGAGTTATGCATGATTTAGGATACTATGCGTTGCAAAACTCTCCACTGTGGAACTGTATATGGAGGCAATCAAATGTAACAGTGTAACAGAAAGTTCTGGATAGACTAGTTTAGTTCTGGATAGAACTATGTTGATGTTGTATCAGGAAAGAAGAGACATTAATCTGTGGATATTTTTATTATTAATTGTGAAATAGAGACGTGTATATGATATATTTAATTTAGTATAAGTGCATTTGGCAAAGATAGGTTAGGAAGGTAAAATAAAAATGAATTTTCAAGCAAAAAAAGTTAAGGAAGAAGACATTTTTGAAGGTATTTTTGATCTATTATTTAATATTATGCGTTATCTTATTTTGTGTAATCGGAAATAATGTGTTCTCTTTCTTTATAAATCTTCTTTGGGACGTCTAATTTGAATTTAATTCGAAATTTATAAAATAGAGTAATATTGATGTAATGCTTGTAATGTTTGTGAGAATGTATAACAATATTATTTTGTATATTCAAGGAAGAATGATAGATAATGTTAAAAATTAATAAATTTTTATTGCTATAAAACTATATCTCTGTTATTTGTGTTAAACATAGACAAATACAAGAATTTGACTCATATACAGCAACAATATACACTATTGAAATATACATATTAAGAATGTGCCTCTGAATGCTGTTTTAGTAGTGTAAAATATGATGCCGCAGTACTTAAAACCTGTAACAAATGAGGCACACATTCAACTTAAGTCAACAATATTTCTTTTCTTTCCTAAGATTTGTATATTGAGTAAAATATTCTATGTCACAATTTTTAAAAATAAAGTTTTAAATTCATTTAATTATACATACTTGATTAAATTTTTTTGTAAATTTCATAAAACTTTTGGAGTGTAAAATTTTTTGTATACAAGATAATATATATACTATAAAATATATTCCAGTTCTACTTACACTAGTGTACGTTTCCAAGGATACGACGAAAAATCCTTTACCTGTTAAGCAACAAGGTATACCAGACCTCATAATGACGAGCATCAAATCTTTTTTCATCATCCTTCCGCTTGTGGTCATTGGTACCATTGGCCAAGGTCCTCTATTCGCTGCCGTGGCTACGCTCAAGCTCTCTCGTATGATACAGTCGCAACTGTAAGTGAACATCAGCAATTGACATAAGCATACCGTTATATGAAGGCCGAAGATCAAACGTGTTGTGGTAGATGTATCTGCCTGAAAGAAATGATACAATAACTGTTATATAGAATGTAATAGTTAAAAATTTTTTTTTGAATTAATATATTTGTAAATTTTAGAGATCAAAATGAACATAAAAGTTCATATAAAAGTAAAAAAATTCAAGTATGCATTAGAGTGAGATCGTTTTATTTTCATTTCTTTTTATTTGCTTTTTACTTGAAATTGCTTATAACTTGAAATAAGCTTCAATCAATATTTTTGTATTTATTATGATTTCTAGAATTCTTTAAAAAGGTATTGATAATTTATATAAAATCAGTTCGATTTGATTTTTTTTTAATATTTAGCGAATTAAAAATATAAATTAATTGATTGTTCGATTTCTATTAGTCAAGTATTAAAAAGCAGAAAAGTTGTTCGATGATAAAAATTATAAATGTATTAAATTAATAGTTCATATTAATATAACATACTAACCATAAGTACTAGATATCCATCGAGACAAATTAACATGCTGAACATCAAAACTTGCTCTAGGACAATCAAATTGAATACCTGTTCAAGTTTTCTGCAATACGCTATAAGGGCTTGATGTTGGCGAATACACTTCTTAAAAATGGCATAACATTTACTTGCAAAGTAGGACGAGTTCATAATTAATTTCTCTTTTTTCTCTTCTTTTCTAATTACCAAATCTGTTATGTTGGAAATTCTATGTTGCAATACTTGAAATTGTCCAGCCACGTGTAAATTCATAATGCACAAAAAATTGTCGAAACAGAAGTAACTCACCCCAATGTGATATAAGGATATCACCTATGGAAATTCTTTTTTCTTTTAATTTTTTGAAAAGTCTTATAAAATATCAGGATTTAGAAATTATCGGATACAAACAAGTATGAAGAAAAATCTTAATTAACTGTTAATATTTTATCATTAATGATTTTTATTAATTTCGTAACACGATAATATGGAAATGAAGTTACAATACCTCTAAAACGAACGTAATTTCATAGTATGGAGTTATAGTTAGTGGCAAGTCAATCCATATGTTGAATGGAAGCACTCTATCTGATTCGTTTCTTCCAATATTTGCTGAAATGTAAGTACAAATATGTAACGACATTGATCATTATATTTTTTAATTATTATATTTACATTTATAGAATTTTTTCTTTTTCTTTATTCGTTTTATTATGAAATTATTAAAAATTAAATAGTATATTAAGTTAAATATTAATAAATCATTTTTCTGATTTGTGAAAAATTTTATTTTTATGTTTTATTTTGATAATTGCAAAGCTGAAATCAAACTCGAGCTCAATATTATTATTATTATTAAAATAAGAATAATAAAAAAAAAATTTACGAAATTATCAAATTGCAAAAATAAGAAAAAAATTCGAAATTTTTGAATTTTTGAAAAATTCTTGACGATCCATCTTTAAATTTTTGTGAATTTTAACTTACCAATAAGTGGATTAATAATGTAAGAAACAACGGTCGCTAGAGTGGTAAAAGTCAAAGAACAAGTGAAGAACGTGCATTTCCGTTTACAGTTGAGCACAATATTTCGTTCGTAATCGTCGTAATCTCCGTGTAAAAATTTTCTTTGTAGATATAAAATCAAATAAAAAAAATCTTTCCTATGCACAATCAGAGTGATCAGTTTCAAAAGGGGTGCGGCTATCGATAGCATATTGCACATAGAAAAGATACATTCCTATAAATAAGGGAAAAAAAATACATTTATATTAAATAATTAATTTATATATTCGTAATTTCGTAAATATTAATTTAAATATTCATAATATATATATTCGTAATTTGTTATTCGTGAGATTGTTACAAATAATTATAGAAATCTTAATATAAATTATATTGATCAAAGTTTTATTCGAGAAATTCATAAAAATATTAAAAGTATTTTCATTTTTTAAAAATATACAAATACGAAAAAAATTATTCTTTTTCATTTTATTAATATAATATATTATGCTGAATTATATATGCTGAATTTAAAATTTTTTTAATGATATTCGAATTTTAACGATACTTCGTATCGAAGCACATTACAATAAAATAATTAATAAAATACTACTTACAAGAAATATTATTTAATAAACAAATAATTTAATAACAATACATAAATCTGTATGATTTTATGTATTTTATAAAAATTTGTACATTTTTTAACATTTCAACACAAATGATGATCGACTTACAGAAAAATCGCCCCACGAATAATACATATCCGTAATTTGTAACCACAGTCCAAAAAGAAGCGCGATGATGCTGTACACGATCATCATGTTTCTCACATATTTCTCTGATTGGCCATTTGCCATCCATATTCCTATGAGTTTTATAAAAATCGACGACAAGTTGATGGAAAAATCGTCGTTTTTCATTTCGATGCCTCTGACAACCGTGTAAAAACGACTGGAATATCTTCTCTCAGATATTGAACTCAACACGTTTGTGTAAGGTGCATCGATTGTTACTAACTTCTAGCGATTCAGTTCGCTTTGATCTATCCTTTCAGTGTATCCTTTAGTTACAGATCGCGTGTACTTTCTATTTATTTTATATTGATTCGGTGAAACGGCAAGAAGAAAAGAAAAACGGAAAAGAAAAAAAGAAAAGAGAGAAGATGACAGAGAACTCGCGATTCTCAAGAGATTGGTGCTTGAAGAGCGGATGGATCAAGCGTAGATCGAACCTAACCTATTGATGTGTTATGCATGATTCATAGATGGACTTCTCTGTGAAATCGAAGCGGTGTTAGCAGCTGTCGACTCTGACGACAGGGAAATTTCAGCATGTTAAATGTGAATTGTGAGAGTTTGTAATTTATTTTTGAATACGTAAAAGGATGGTGACGAAAAAAGGTCTAGAAGGAAAAATTGATGCGAAGAAAAGGAAGAATATTAATTTGTGCGATGTGATTAAATAAAGTGAATTAATTTACTTAACTCGATGAAGAATTTATTTAATCATTATTATTCGTACTATTTTTTAAACAAACACTTTGATGAAATGTTATTAAATTTATAATAACATTTAATGTTATAAATTAATGTTATAAATTATGTATAAACGAATTTTCTTGGAATTATTTATTTATTTAAATAGCATTCGCGTATATCGTTTTAAAAACATAAAAATATGCATATTCGATATCTAATCAAACATATGGATGTATGAATGAAATTTTTGAAAAAAAAAAAAACGAAACTTCATTTTACTTATTATTTGATCGTATCATCAATTATCTTGTACATATGCAACTTGAAAAGTGAAAGAATTATGTATTTTCTACTTCTATGGTTCGTTGTTTTAGTATCGTGAAATATGACATAGCTGTACTCATGATCTGCAATGTGAAATTTTCAGTGAAAAATTTTAATAAGTATTTCAATTAAAATTTCTCGATGACGAGATTATTCATTCTAAAAATAAATCACAACATAAATATGCAATATCAAAAAATTTTGGAATTTTTTTTTTCTCTATTTAATCTTAAACAAATATTTAACATTTCACATAATTAAGATTCATTTTTAAAGCGAATGATTTATCGAAGTTTTATTGAAAAAGAAACTCGAAAAAAAGGATTAACTTTTTTAATAATATCGTTAAAAATTACCTTCGTATAAGTTTCAAGAGATATATCAAAGAAGCCACAACCTGTTAGACAACAAGCACGTCTAGATCTTACGACAACGAATTGCAAATCTTTTCGTATCATTTTTCCAAATTTATCCATTGGCATACGTGTCCATGGTATAGAATACACAGCCGAGGCAACATTCACGCTTTCTCGTGTCATGCAATCACAACTGTACGTGAACATCCATAGTTGACTCATGTTGGTTATTAAAAAACATAGGAAGGAAATTCGCCATGAAAAAGTCAAATTTACCTGTGTACCAAGATATATCGATATGATTAAATAAATTAAATAATAGTATAATTTTTTAAATATAATAAAATTCTTCTCCATAAAAACAATTATGAATTAAATGAGTTTATTTTATTTATGACATTGGTAAGAATTTCCTTAAAAATATAAATATAGAATGTGAAACATGGAGTATAAAGAATATAATAAAAAAATATAACAAAAATTTTTCTCGTAAATAAAATATGTTAATAGTGCCTAGAAAATTATTTAAGAAGGATATTAAATTTGAGTTGGAAAAATTAATAAAAATTTTCAATAGAAGAAAAGTTTAAAAAATGATAATAATACTGACCAAAAGCACTTGATATCCGACGAAACAAATTAACGTGCTAAATATTAGAACTTGCCCAAGTGTAATTATTGTAAATATTTCTTCGAGTGTGATGGAGAATTGAATTAGAGCTTGATGCTGTCGAATGCAATTTTTTAATATGATGTAACATCTGTTCGAAGAATCCATGTTTTCCTCATTATCGACTCCTTCTTTATCTTCTACACTTGACAAATTGGCTAGCCTATATTGTAATATACGAAACTGGCTAGCTAAGTGTAGACACATAATGCAAAACATATTGTCGACACAAAGATAACATATTCCAACTTGATACAAACACAAAGCCTATGTACATGTGATAAAAAATCGTTCATTAGTAAAACTTTGAATAAAATTTGACGCAGAGTTAATAATTCATTTAAAAAAAAAAATGTAGTCTATTGTAGTGATCATATATTAATGATATATAAAGATGAAGATAAGATATAGGTATCCAAAACTTTGCAATGGATTCAATGAAAAATTTGTTAATAATCCAATTCTCAATTTTAAATTGATTGTAATTCAATATTTGGGATGCAATTTTTTTTATTTATGCAATTTAAATATCAAAAATATAGTAGAAATTTTTATATTACAATTAATATATATTTAATTAATCGTATATTGGTTAAAATATTAAATAAAAATGTAACTTTTCTTTAGAAAAATGATGAATACCTGTATCACGTAAATTATTTCAAAATATGGCGACATAGACAATGGTAGATCTAGCCACATATTAAATATAAGCATCCTATCCGATTCATTCTTCCCAATATTTGCTAAAATGAAATTGCAAACGATTTGTTTTCTTATTATTTATGTTAAAATAGTTGATTTCCACTTTATAATATAACTATTTACAAATTTAAAATTAAATTTCAAATTTTCAAATTGAATTAAAAATTAAAAATTATTATTTTTTTCAGCTTTTTAATTATGATTTGTTAAACTTACATATCATTGGCATCAACATATAAGAAAAAACCGTGGACTGAGAGAAAAATGAGAAGACGCAGACGAAGTAGACACACATTTGTTTCGCATCTGCTATAATAGAATTTTCATACTGATCATAATCCAAATGCCAGAAATTCTTCTTCATATATATGATCAAACCAAGAAACTTCTTTTTATGTATAAATACGACGAATATCTTTAATAAATCCATTATTAGTCCCAAACTATTGCACGCGATGAAAGTGCATATCTAAAATCGAGCCAAAGTTAAAAAATTATTGATTTAAAAATATCAAATTATAATTATTCGAAAATGTATCAAATTATAATTATTCGAAAAAGTTAAAAAAAGTTATCAATTCCTTTTCAAATTATTAATTACATCGTCAAAAAATAAATAAATCGTGTTAGAATTTATTATTTTCTTAAAAAAAAAAAATCAAAAGATAGAATAATTTAATTCTTCCAATTTTTTATATAATATTTGAATAAAATATATTTTTCATCACTGAACTTACACTGAAGTCTCCCCAAGAGAAGTAAAGGCCTCTCATTTGTACCCACATGGAAAAAATGATAGTGATTATACTGTACATCACTGTTGCGTTCCCGAACCATTCCTCGAGGCGACTACTTGCCAACCAAAAGCCGACGACCCTTAGAAAAAACGTAGCTAAACTGAACGAAACGTCTCTACGATATTTCAAACTCATATTGGATCCTGAGAGATCCAATCAGATATACCGATTCGCAATTTATAGGGGGATCTATCTATTAATTATCGAAAAACTTTTCAATTGCTCTCTCTCTCTCTCTCTCTCTCTCTCTCTCTCTCTCTCTTTGATCTCCTCCAGATCATTCTCTATTATCCATACGTGCATAACATTATATTCGTTATATTACAATGATATTGTTTCGCGGGCAAGAGGAAAGAGAATTGCTATACGATATGTCTTTATTCATGATCTATTACTTCCCTTACTTCGGTACGTAATGTATGTGATCAATGAGTTATGCATGATTCACGATATTGTAAATCCTCTGTGAAGTTGAAGAAGTAGGAATGTGGTGGTGGAAGATACAGTCTGAGAAAGATTGACGTAGTGAATCGAAATTTGAAAGAAATGGTGAGTGGAAAATTTGTAGATAATCTTATCGTTTAGTTGTGAATAACAAGTGATGGAATAAAATAAGTTTTTAATTGGAAAACGATTTAATTTAGTGAAGATGTTAAAGATGTAATCCTTATCCTATTATTTTTAATTTAAATAATTTTACATTTAGGGGATTAGAAATTTATAGAGATTCGTTCCTTTATATATTTTTCAAAAATGAATGGTGTGTCGATAACAAATATATATATATATATATATATTACTAAAAAACTATTTCTCTCTTTGTATTAATCACAGAAACAGAAAGAATTAAATTAAGAAATACTATCTACACTACGTTATACTATTTATATTACGCAATACAAATGACTCGTATTACGAAGTGACTTCTGTGCGCTGTTTCAACAACGTGAAATATGATGCTGCTGTACTTAGAACCTATAACAAAAGAAACTGACGAATTAATTTCGATATCCAACACCATCCATGTACTCGATTTGTTTATTAAATTTCTTTTCATTTCGTTTGTTGGCATATTGTAAATTTTATTATTATTACAGTATATTTATTAAATTACAGATGACGATTAAAATTATTATTATACTTACACTGGTATACGTTTCGAGAGACACAATGAAGAATCCTTTTCCAGTTAAGCAACAAGGTATGCTAGACCTCATGATGACTAGGATCAAATCTTTTCGTATCATCCTTCCACTCGTGGTCATTGATAACAACGGCCAGGGTCCACCGTATGCTGCTGTTGCTATATTCACACTTTTTCGTATGATACAGTCGCAGCTGTAGCTGAACATCAGTAATTGGCATAGAGATCCTAATATGTGGAAGCTGAAGATTAAACGTGTTTTGATATCTCCATCTGCCTGCGAGAAGTAACATTATAATAATAATTTGGGATCTCTTGTGAATGAGAATGGAAATTATATGAAATAATTAATTCACATTATGGTACCAACCATAAGTATTTGATATCCATCGAGGCAAATTAGTAAGCTGAACATCAAAACTTGCTCTAGGACAATCAAATTGAATACCTGTTCAAGTTTTCTGCAATACGCTATAAGGGCTTGATGTTGGCGAATACACTTCTTAAAAATGGCATAACATTTACTTGCAAAGTAGGACGAGTCCACAATTAATTTCTCCTTTTTCTCTTCTTTCTCATTATCGATCGAATCTATTATGTTGGAAATTCTATGTTGCAACACTTGAAATTGTCCAGCCACGTGTAAATTCATAATGCACAAAAAATTGTCGAAACAGAAGTAACTCACCCCAATGTGATATAAGGATAATGCCTATGAAAATTCTATTTTCTTATAATTTTTTAAAAGTATTAAAAATATCAGGATTTAGAATGGAGAAAAATCTTAATTAATATCATATTATTAATAATTCTTATTTAATTCGATAATATGAAAACGAAATGACAATACCTGTAAAGCGTACGTAATTTCAAAATATGGAGTTATATTTAATGGTAAGTTAATCCACATGTTGAATGGAAGCATTCTGTCTGATTCGTTTTTTCCAATATTTTCTAAAATATAAGTATAAATAAGAAAATAAAGTTAAATCACAGATTCTTTTTTTTTTTTTTTGTTCTTGATTTTTTTTTCTGACGAGATAGAAGCGAAAACTGTTAAGAAAAAAATACGTTTCTCCTATTATTTCGTGTCTTCTAATAATGAAAGAAGAAAGGCAAAAAATAGCAGATTACATTTTTTTAAAAGAATCCACTCACCGATAATTGGACTGAAGATGTAAGAAGCAACAGTCGCCATTGTAAGAAACGTAAAGAAACAAATGAAGAAGGTGCACTTCCGCTTGCAACCGATCACGATCTTCCTCTCGTAGTCGTCATAATGTCGTAATTCCAGAAAATTCCTTTTCATGTACAGGATCAAACGGAAAAAATCCTCTCTGTGACTAAATAGAATGATTATCTTCAACAAGGGCATAATCGACGACAGAATATTGGAGATAAAGAAGAGACAAGCCTGTGAATAAGAAATAATCGAAATTAAAATTATTCGTATCGAGCGAATAACTCGTTATACTGACGCTAAAATCTCCCCATGAGTAAAATATATTCATAGATTGTATCCACAGAGCGAAAATAATGGCGACCAAGCTGTAAATAACAGTGATGTTTCTTATCCGTTGTTCGTATTGGTTGCCCGCCATCCATATTCCCACGAGCTTCATAAAAATTGATGTCAGGCTGACAGATACGTCGCTTTCCAGAAAATTCATATCGTTTTTACTTAATAAACTGGCTGGTACGTTCGTACATCGAACTATACCAGTACAGAGTGCATATTGATTATCGCAATGGAGGCGAGTCACTTTGATCTATTGATATTCTCTATTCATCGATCGTGTAATTTGTGTTTATTTCATATTATTATCGTTACATGTGGTCGTTTAATGAAAAAGATGAAAAAGAAGTGGAGTGGAGACAAAGAGGATATTATTCTTCTTATTTAGTAAAAAATGAATTGTTATCGATGCTCTATGCATGATTTAGGAATTATGAAATCCCTCTGTGAAATCGTAACGTTGCTGACAGCTGCGTCTCTTTGATAGAGGGAAATTGCGAATTCAAGAGATAACAATTATTGTAATTTAAAATGGAAGATGAGGGTAGAAAGGTGAAGGGGTACTATCCATAACGAAAGAATTTTTAGTGGTTACGAGACATTGATTTGTGATGTAATTCTATGAGAACGTTTTTCTTAATCTGTGAAATACATTATAGAAATATATATATATATATATATAACTACAAACAGTACGAAAAAATTGTATAATTGTAAACTAAGGTATCAATTTTTTTATCTATTTTCAACAATATTTATTTCAACAATAATCATATAATTTTAACTAATAGATTTTTTTATTCGATCAGTTGATTGAAAATTTGTATTATTAATTATGTTTCGTTTTCACTTTCTATATTGTTTCGTAACAATGTAAAATACGATGCTGCGGTACTCAAAACCTGTAAGTTAATCAATTTTAAGAATTTTATTCGTGGAAATTTATTAAATTACAGATGTACTTGACGATTAAAATATTACACTGGTATACGTTTCGAGAGACACGATGAAGTATCCTTTTCCTGTCAAGTAACAAGGTATGCTAGCCCTCATAATGACTACTACCAAATCTCTTCGCATCATCATTCCGCTTATAGTCATTGGTAGTAACGTCCAAGGTCCTCCGTATGCTGCTGTAGCTACACTCACGCTTTCTCGTATAATGCAATCACAGCTGTAGCTGAACATCAGTAATTGACATAGGCATGATAGTATATGGAAACTGAATATTGCACGTGTTTTGATATCTCCATTTGCCTTTGGAAAATAACGTTATAATAATTTATATCACATATATTATATCATGAGAATGAAACAAAATTATCTGACTTTTTATTTTCTTCGAAATTTGGAATAAAAATAAAAATGTAAATCAATTCATTCTCATTTTAATTATTCGAATTTTAAAAATTTTAAAAAAGAAGATATATTTAAGACATATTTAATGAATCGTTTGTCATCTTGTTATTTTTAAAATTATATAAAAACTATAAATCATTGATTTATATCACTCTACCATGAGTATTTGATATCCATCGAGGCAAATTAGCAAGCTGAACATCAAAACTTGCTCTAGTGCAATCCAATTGAATACCACTTCAATTTTTCTGCAATACGCTATAAGAGCTTGATGTTGGCGAATATACTTTTTAAAAATGCTGTAACATTTATTTGAATAATACAACGATTCTATGATTAACTTCTCCTTTTTCTCTTCCGTTTTAATTATCAAATCTGCTATGTTGGATATTCTATATTGCAACACTTTAAATTGTCCAGCCACGTGCAAATTCATAATGCACAAAAAGTTGTCGAAACAGAAATAACTCACCCCAATTTGATATAGGGACAAAACCTAGTGACACATAAAAATTCTAAACTTCTTT